AAATTTAGTGAGGACACCTGATCGGTATAGCGCACTACAGCCCAGAACTCCTGGGCTCAGGTGATCCTCCTCCTCAGCCTCCTGAATAGCTGGGACTGCATGGTACATGCCACCATGCCTAACAGCTCACACTTTGTCTAACAACTTTGTCCCAAGGGCACTCCCAGCAAAGACCACAACCACACTGTCAGTTTCTGGGGCTGAGGGCATGGTGCCACTTGTTTTCTAAGTATCAGTTTACTCATCAGTAAAATGAGCATTGTTTATAGCACTTTACCAAGTGTTTTCTCATTTGATCCATTCAACAACGCTGGAAAGCACACTGTTCATTCAACTTAGTCAATATTTACAAAGCGCTGGCTGGGTGCGGTGGCTCACACCTGTAATCCCAGCACTTTGGGAGGCCAAGGTGGGTGGATCACCTGAGGTCAGGAGTTCGAGACCAGCCTGGCCAACACAGTGAAACCCTGTCTCTCTTAAAAATACAAAGATTAGCTGGGCATGGTGGTGGGCACCTGTCATCCCAGCTACTCCAGAGGCTGAGGCAGGAGAATAGCTTGAATCCAGGAGGTGGAGGTTGCAGTGAGCTAAGATCATGACATTGCACTCCAGCCTGGGTGACAAGGGCGAAAGTCCATCTCAAAAAAAAAATTTTTTTTTGGAGTGCCTACAAGGTATTGGGCACTGCTTTAGCTACAGTGATGGCTCATGGAGCTTATATAATGGGAAGAGACTATAAAAAGTTCCCTTAAGTGCACTATGTGGCACTTAAGTAAGGTAATTTCAAATTGTCTTAAGTGCTGTAACAAAAATAAAACAAGATAAAGAGCTAAAGGAAGGCCTGTAGGTTTCCACCTCGATACAGTGTATGTAAATCCATAAAGTTTAAGAGTATACTTGAAAAGTATACTTGTTACTTTTAAGAGTATACTTGAGTATACTTAAAAAGTATCCTCCAAAGTATACTTGTTACTTTTTAATTTTTTTTTTTTTTTTTTGAGATGGAGTCTGGCTCTCTGTCTCCCAGGCTAGAGTGCAGTGACAGGATCTCGGCTCACTTCAACCTCTGCCTCCCCAGTTCAGGCAGTTCTCCTGCCTCAGCCTCCCATCTATGTGGGACAACAGGCATTCACCACCATGCTTGGCTAATTTTTGTATTTTTAATAGAAACCGGGTTTTGCCAGACTGGTCTCGAACTACTGACCTCAGGTGATCCACCCACCTCAGCCTCCCAAAGTGCTGGGATTACAGGCATGCGCCAGCCTACTTTTTAATTTTAATTGTAGCTTTTTTTTGCTCTGGTAAATACAGATTCTCAGTGGACTGCTCTCCATGAGCAGAGAGAAGGCTGTGTTCTATCCTCTTTTGACAAAAGGCTTCAGAGGGTATATAGGTCTGATATCCTTAAATTGTTAGTGGAAGTTTAATCCACCTTTCAAGGCACTCTGTGGAAGGTGTGGATTTTGAATCTCTAACATTACACCCTGGAGCTGGCAGTGTCCACGTGCCATTACTGTATTCGAAGAGGGTGAATTCAGTTTGTGAAACCCAAAAAGATGCCATCAGTGAGTAAATAACCAACTGAACGTGTTTGAAGGATGTGAAACAAAGATAAATGTAGTCACTTCAGAAACATGAGCCCATGGGGAAGAGAGCAGTGGCCACAGCTGTGCGGAACAAAACTGCCCACATGGAGGATGTTCTATCTTGCTTTACTGTAGAACACTACACTTTCTTTACCAAGGCAATGCCTTTTCCCTAATAATTGCTGCTTTTTCTTTCTTTTTTTTTTTTTTTAGATGGAGTCTTGCTCTATCACCAGGCTGGAGTGCAGTAGCACAATCTTGGCTCACTGCAACCTCCTCCTCCCAGGTCCAAGCAATTCTCCTGCCTCAGCCTCCTGAGTAGCTGGGATTACAGGTGCCTGCCACCATGCCTGACTAATTTTTGTAGTTTTTTAATAGAGACGGGGTTTCACCATGTTGACCAGGCTGGTCTTGAACTCCTGATCTCAGGTAATCCACCCGCCTCAACTTCCCAAAGTGCTGAGATTACAGGCATAAGCCACCACATCCAGCCTGAATTTTTTTTAACTTGTCTTTCAGTGTTTTAAATCACCCTAATACTAGCCAGCCTAGAATTACTTTTTTCCAAAATTAAAATACCTTTAAGTTATATTTCATTATAAAAGTAGGCCAGATTGGGTACAGTTGCTCACGCCTGTAATCCCAACACTTTGGGAGACTAAGGTGGGAGGATCCCTTGAGCCCAGAGGTTCAAGACCGGTCTGGGCAACTTTGTGAGACCTTTAGTGCAATGCCACAATCTCGGCTCACCGCAACCTCCGCCTCCTGGGTTCAGGCAATTCTCCTGCCTCAGCCTCCTGAGTAGCTGGGATTACAAGCACGCACCACCATGCCCAGCTAATTTTTTGTATTTTTGGTAGAGATGGGGTTTCACCATGTTGACCAGGATGGTCTCAATCTCTTGACCTCGTGATCCACCCGCCTCGGCCTCCCAAAGTGCTGGGATTACAGGCTTGAGCCACTGCGCCCGGCCGTGAGACCTTTTCTCTACAAAAAATTAAAGTAAAAAGAAAAAAATAATAAGCCGAGCATGGTGGCATACACCTGTAGTCCCAGGCTGAGGCAAGAGGATCAATTGAGCCCAGGAGGTTAAGACTGACAGTGAGCCATGACCATGCCACTGCATTCCAGCCTGGGCAACAGAGTGAGACCCTGTCTCAAAGGAAAAAAAAAAAAAGAAGAGTAGACTATACTTGCTGCAAAAACTCAAAAAACTGTACAGAACAGATGACTGTCTTCTTGCCCATCCTTCTTCCCCCGTATAGCCTTAAACTCATCTCCTGAACAGAGTAGGCCAACAGCCTCTGACCTCAGGGAGCTCATTCCTGTGTTGTACACCCTTGTGTCAACCGAGGATTACAATGGTAATCCTGAGTAAATACATACAGAGTACCAATTTTAGAAGTGGTTGAAAACTTTTTTTAAAAATAAGAGAATTCTCAAACTCTTAAAAATAAAATCAGAGAATTACACAAGTATAATTACCTGCTCATCTTAGAAGTCATATCTCCAGGTCAGGCGTGGTGGCTCACACCTGTAATCGCAGCACTTTGGAAGGCTGAGGAGGGTGGATCACTTAAGGTCAGCAGTTTGAGACCAGCCTGGCCAACATGGTGAAACCCTGTCTCTGCTAAAAATACAAAAATTAGGTGGGAATGGTGGTGCATGCCTATAATCTTAGCTACTCAGGAGGTTGAGGCAGGAGAATTGCTTGAACCTGGGAGGCAAAGGTTGCAGTGAGCCCAGATTTCACCACTGCATTCCAGGCTGGGTGACAGAGCAAGACTCTATCTCAAAAGAAAAAAAAAAGTCATTAAAAAAAAAAAAAAAGCAAGAGTACTTTGCAGGTAAGCCTAACTCAGGCTGACATGGGGTGGTGGTGGGGGAGCAGTGCACCCACTCCAGGATCCCCCAGCAGCATTTATTGTTTTTTTTTCTGTTGCCCAGGCTGGAGCACAGTGGTGTGATCATGGCTCACTGCAGTCTTGATCTCCTGGTTCTTGAGTGGTTCTCCCAACTCAGTCTCCCAAGTAGCTGGGACCACAGGCACGCACCACCATGCCTGGCTAATTTTTAAATTTTTATATTTTTTGTAGAGACTGGGTCTCACTATGTTACCCAGGCTGGTCTCAAAACTCCTGGGCTCAAGCAGTCCTCTCATCTTGGCCTCCCAAAGTGCTGGGATTACAAGCATGAGCCACTATGCCCAGCCTCATTGTTTCTTTTTATTTTGGTTATTGAGCTCTCCCTGGGTAACATTTGCAGAATGTTTCATGTGTCCCGAGTATGCGCCAGGCCAATTACTCAGCAATTCTGCTTCAAGACCAGCCTGTATTCCATTACGTGGTGCTACATTTTCAAAAGGGAAGGAATATAAAATGTGTAACTATTTGCTATGCAGAGGAGAGAGATGCTACTGTGGGACTAGAATCAAAGTTTTCTCATACCCTGTCCAATGCCTTTTCCACAACATCCCTCAGATGAGCCTTAGGGGACCAAGTGCATAGTCTTGTATGGGCTTTACATCTAATGCTAGATTAGGGTTGTATGGACTTTATATCCAATGCTGATTATAAGGTCTAGATGATGCTAGGTGGCAGACATTCAAAGTTGCACAGGTCGTTTACTGTACTTGATAAATAGCCCAGTGGCAAGACAGAGAAATAAACTGATCATTTACACCCTGAAAAGGTGGTCAGTTGCTTAGGGAACTGGGAGAGGGGCACCAGATGGAGAACTGGGGACATGGTAGGGAGGAGGGCTTTTCAGCATAGTGAGTGAACGAATGCTCATTCGAAGAAACAACTTGTGTTTAAGGTGTTTTTTTTTTTCTTCCAGAGCTGGAATCTGGAAGAATCTCTGGGCTTTCCTGCTTTGAGGGAGAGATCAGGCTAGGTGCATTGCCAGTTTGCTCCTGAAGATCTGATTGGGATCTGCTTTGATGTGATCAAATGAGATGTAATCAATGCTGGTACTTTAAGCCAGTTTGCAACTATTTAGTTCTCTTTTTAGTAGTAATATTAGTAATATGGTAAAATTAAGTGCTGACAGGATGAGTATAGGAGGCCTGAAGGATGGTATCTTGGGCTTCTCTGATTCAAGCCCTACGGCTCACTGGCAGGTCATCAGAGGAAACATCCATGTATCCATCCTTCCACTCAAGAAGTATTTATTTGGTGCCTGTGTGCCAGACACTGTGGGGAAAACAAGACACATGGGCTGTTTGCCTCACGGAAGGAACTAAGCTGTTTAGGTTTTGACACATCCCTTTCTCTGGGCCTCAGTTCCTGGACCTGTTCAGAAATGTGCGCTCACCGTGGTCCTAGACTTGTTAGATTCAGGTTCCATTTTCAGTTCTTTCCTGTTCTGGGGCCACCGCCATGTTAATTTGGTCTCTCGGAACCTCAGTTTCCTCATCTTAAAATGAAGATCATACAACTCGTTTCATCAAGTTGTACTGAGGCTGGAAAAGATAGTCTAACTGCTGACGCATTGTGCGCTCAGCCTAGGGTGGCTGCTACCGCGGATACCTGCCGATTCCTAGGGCGGGTACCAGCCCGGGACCCCCTGACAGGTGTTAATTAGGGCGTGGCTAAGCCCCCGGGCTGGGGAAGGAGTTAGGATTTATAAAGCCAGTGTCTGGCGCGGTGGCCTCATTCCTTCTTTAACTAGACCCGGGAGAGGTCTTCCAGGCTTGGGCTTGGCACGCGAGCAGCGGGAGCGGGGGTGCCGGCGGCGGAGGCGCGTGCGTCCTGAGCAGCCCCCAGCTCCCAGCGCGCACACCTGGGCCCGTGGCGCGAGGCGTGCGCGGCTGCCGGGTAGCCGCTGGGGACTGGGCCCGGGGGGCGGAGCCTGCCGCCCGCTGTCCCCAGCACCCCCCGGCCCAGGCCCGGAAGGGGCCAGGCGCGCTTCCGTCTCCGCCGGGGAGGCACGGAGGGCGGAGCTGCGGCCCGAGGATGCGACGCGAGCCCAGTTCCGGCGAGGAGGCCGCGCCAGTGACAGCGATGGCGGCGGAGTCGGCGCTCCAAGTTGTGGAGAAGCTGCAGGCGCGCCTGGCCGCGAACCCGGATCCTAAGAAGGTGAGCGACTGAGCGGCGCGGAGCGGGGCGGGCGTTGGGTCGGTGCGGGCCCTGTAACGGTCGCGGGCCCGGGCGCGGCGGGGTTCGGGGGCCGGGACCCTGAGCCAGGCCCCGCAGGGCTGGGGTCGTGAAGTTCGCGGCCATTGGCCGCTGCCCGCGCGCTGGGACCCCGTACGTCCGGCGTCAGGACGCGGGGCCCCGGCCGCTCCCCCTCTCCTGGGCCCGGGACGGGGGCGCGCCCGGTGCGGACACCGCGTGCCCTGCGCTCCCTCCCGGAGGCGCTCCCGTGGCGTCCCGAGCCAGCTGTTTCCTGCGGGAGAGCGCGCCCGGGTTGGGAGGGCGCTGGCCGCCGCCTCGCTGACCGCCCGGTGCCTGCGCTGGTGCCCGGCTCCCCGCGGAGCGGCGCGGACTCCCCAGCCGGTGCGTGTTGGCCGTGGGGAGGAGACGGGGCGCCCAGACGCGGCGGAGCCTGGGCTGGCGGTGTGGTCCGCGCCTCTCGGAGCCGCGGTTACTGCTCGCCGGCTGGCTATCAGTGGACCTTTTGCTTTCTCATTGAATCCCTTTCACAACAAAATAAAGCTTCACGTCACCTCGGCGTACTCCTGAAAACTTAGGTTGGAATTGAAGAAGAGACGGGGGTCCGGGGGTGGAAGTCGCAGCTAGGTTTCCTTTTGGTCATTGATAGGAAGGTAAGAGCTGCCGTTTCTCGTTGTTCTAGTGATGGGCAACCATTTTTAATTGTAGTTAACTAGTTTTTGTTGTTTGTTGTACAGACTGAACATAAAGTTAAACGCGTTCTTGTACCTTTCCATCTTTCTGTCACCCACTTCTCCATGGTCTCAAGGACAGCGTTTGGTGGCTGTCAGGGTTTTTTTGTTTTTGTTTTTTTTTTTTTTTG